TTCTTGATTTGGATCCCCTAGCTCAGGCAATACTTCCTTCAGTCTGAAATTTAACATTTTTGAGATACACTTATATATAGTGTTCCAGGATGATATAGGTTGACATTCTGTTGCATCTTTTGGAACTGAGTTCTTTGGGATCAGAGAGATTAAAGTAGCATTGAGTTGCTTTAACATCTTCCCTGTGTTAAAGAATTTTAAAACAGCATCAACGATTTCATCACCTACAGTACTCCAAGCTGCTTTATAAAAACCACTATTGAAACCATTAGGACCTGCACTTTTATTTATATCAATACTAAATAGTGCTTTCTCAACATCTACCTTGGTGAAACTTTCAGTCAGCACAATATGCTGATATAAAGTCAATTTAATCCCTGGCTAAAAATTTTCACTTTTGGCATTTGTTCTATTTGTTTCGTTTCCAAGGCGTGGTCTTGAACGGCTTCCCAATCCTCAACTATTTCCCCTTCCTGATTAATGAATGTTCTTATTTTTCCTATATTTTTCTTTTGTTTTAGTATTGCATGAAAGAGTTTTGAATTCATGTCCCCTTCCACTATCCATTTTTCTTTCAACTTTTGCTTCCAAAAACTCATTGCAGCTTTAGTACTTTGTATATGGTTCTCCGTGATCTGCTTCTCTTCCACTTGAAGTTCCTGATTTAGTGGATCATTCATCATTTTTCCCTGTACCTATTCAAGCTTCATCCTTCATTCCTGAGCTTGATTCTCAATACAGCTATATTCTTTTCTATTGAGCTCCTTTAGTTTTTGTTTTAGCATTTTTTGTTTCTTTACCTGAATTGTATACATCCTGTGATCTCTGTAATCAAAATGGGCTTAACTTATTATTTAAACTCTGGATTCATTATTGGCTCTCCCCATTTAACAACCAAAGGGTTGTGATTTGATAAACCAGCTGGGTTGACAACAACATATGCATCAGGAAATTCATGAAGCCATTTCATATTTATTAGAGCCCTATTCAGTCTTGCCATGATTCTCATGTCTCCCCTGTGTTTGTTTGTCCATGTAAACTTCCATCCCTGAGTGTTGATTTCCATCATTTCTGCTTACTCTATCATTTCTCTAAACTTTCCTGTATCCAAACATAAATCAGTTGTTCCTCCAAGTCTTTCTTCCGGCTCTAAGGTGCAGTTGAAATCCCCAATAATGATCCAAGGAGCAAGGATGGTGTAACCGGCCCTCTTTCTCTGCACAAGAAGACACGGGACAACCACACGCCTCAACCCAGGAAAAGCACTAAGCAAAATCCGACAATCAGAGTACTCAAAACAAGCAGCCAACTTGACCGAGAAATGTAGCAAAACTCGGGTCAGGCAACCAGCTTTACCGAGAAATGCAGCAAAGCCTCGGCACAAGCAATCAAGCTTACCGAGAAATGCAGCAAAACTCGGGTAAGCACTCACCTTACCGAGAAATGCCGGGAAACGTTAACCGGCAAACAGAACGGGACCGAGAAAACCCGGTACACTCGGGATAGCCCCGGGCTTCCTGAGAAAACAAGGGACTAACCGAGAAAACAAGGGACAAACCAGAAACGGGAAATAAAAAGGGACTCGAGAAATACAAGCCGGAAGACCGGCTCAACCTTGTATTATTACTCAAAACACAAGGAAAGGCTCTCTAACTCAAGAAGGCTTACAACTCAACTCTCTATGCTTTCAAATGAGCCAAGGCCCCCTATATATACAAGAATGGGGAAGGAATACCCTTACAAGAATTACACCAAATGCCTAACATGCATTGGACTACAAGGCTACAACATGGTACATCTTGGCAGCAACTCTAACATGCAAGCCTACACCTTGGCCGACATGCATTTGTCCACAGTGTACAAAATGGGTCCCGTAGTTCTAGAAGCTCCCAGCTCCTTCTAGCAAACCTCCCTTCTAGATTGAACCCGGGGGCCGTGCTGCAATGTTGTTTAACTCTGCTCGGGTTCCCACTTATCCGTCTCGCATGATTATCCTGCACTCCCGCATAAGGGCCGTTGCACTAACTCAAGTGCCTTGGGGAGGAACTCACACCCACCCGCTTGACCGATATAAGTCTTGCACACCCGGCATCAGCCACCAAGGCGTGTGCTTCCGAGAAAAATTTTTAAGGAGCTAACTGACCTCCCCCACTTGAGAGGTTGACACCCTCGTCAACTGCTTGGCCCAGTCCCAATACTCGGCAATTTTTTTCTCAAACTGCCACAAGTCGTTCTCATCGACCTACTCGGCATCGGCTAGAGACTCATCCTTCCAATGCACTAGGAACCGCATATGTCTCACCTTCTTGCTTTGCCCGATCATCTCATGATCAAGGATCTTCTAAATCTTCTTCTCAAACTGTTTTCTCACAACAGGGGGTGCTCTCTTGGCTTGCACACATTCTTCACCTGTCTCATCGGCATTATATTGTTTGAGAAAACTAACATGGAAAGTTGGGTGTACCTTCGACCGTGGTGGCAGCTTCAAGCGATAAGCAACGTTCCCCATCCGTTCCACAACTTCAAATGGGCCATCGTACTTAGGCACCAGCCCTCGATGCACTGTCTTGCTGGAAATCTTCTCCAAAATTTGTGGAGTCAACTTGAGCATCACCAAGTCCCCCACCTTGAACTCAACATCCTGTCTATGCCGATAAGCATACCGTTTCATCTTTTGCTGGGCAATGGCTAGGCTGTCTCGCGCCTCTTCAAGCAACTCTTGCTTCACCCTTCCAAACCGGTGTGCTGCAGGACAAGAACCGGCAACGGCCTTCACTGTTATCTCATGGGATGTTGTCGCTACTCCCCGTTCACCAACTCAAACGGACTCATCTTCGTGGCCGATGACCTGTGAAGGTTATAACAAAATGGGGCAACATCAAGTAAACCAGGCCAATTCTCTTGACTTGCCGTGACATAATGCCGTAGATACTCCTCCAAAACAACATTTACTCGCTCTGTTTGGTCGTCCGTCTACGGATGATTGGCCGTAGAAAACTTCAGCTGCGTGCCCATGCCATTGAAAAGCTGTGTCCAAAACCGGCCCATGAAACGGGCATCCCGGTCCGTGACTATATCCTCCGGTAAGTCGAAGTACTTCACTATGTTCTTGAAGAATAACTCGGCAGCAACGTCAGTAGAACAAGCAGCTAGGGCAGCAATAAACACGGCATACTTAGAAAAACGATCAACAACAACAAGGATAGAAGCCAAACCGTTGATCTTTGGGAAGCCGCTGATGAAATCAAAGGACACCGACTACCACGGTCTCTCCAGTATAGGCAATGGCTGCAGCAATCCCGCTTCCTTCCTCGTCTCCATCTTGTCTTGTTGGCACACCAAGCAAGACCTCACGTAGGCTTCTATGTCGTGTACCGCATCTCATGTTCTTTCAACTTCCCTTTCAAAGGCAACCAAGTTTTTATCTTGCACTAAGACACCACCAATAGGACGGTCAGAAGCATCGGTGTGTACCTCAAAGGGACGGGCGAAGTCGGGCAACCTCAGGACCGGCTCCGTTGCAATGGCTGCCTTCACGTCTTGGAATGCCTCCTTGCACTTCCTAGACCAAACCCACGCCGTATCCTTCCTCAACAAGTCCGTCAAAGGGGCAACGAGTCTCGAGTAGCCCTTGATGAACTGTCTATAGTAATTTGCCAACCCGAGGAACGATCACAACTCTTGGGCTTTACTCTGGGCCATCCAATTCAACACCGCCTCAACCTTTCGGGGGTCCATTCTGATTTTCCCATGGCCAAGGATGTGACCAAGGAAAATAGTCTCTTGCCGGCTGAACTCACACTTCTCCTTCTTCATGTACAGCTCGTGTTCCCTAAGCCGTTGGAACACTAAACTCAAGTATTGCACATGTAACTCAAGGGTCGCCGAATACACCGCAATATCATCAAGGTAAACAACGACAAACTTGTCCAAGTACTCGTACAAGACATCGTTCATCAACTTACACAAGGTAGCCGGGGCATTTGTGAGCCCAAACGGCATCACCAAAAACTCAAAGGAACCGTACCTTGTTACCACCATTGTCTTACCCTCGTCCCTAGCCGCTATGTGTACCTACCAATAGCCAACCCGGGGATCAATCTTTGTGAAGTAACGACCCTCCACCAACCGGTCGAACAAGTCATAGGTGTTGGGCACCGGATACTTATTCTTCACGGTGATCTTGTTGAGAGCCCGGTAATCGACACAAAAATGCAGTGATCCATCCGTCTTCTTCTGAAACAAGGCAGGGGCACCAAACGAGGCTTTAGACGGCTGCATAAGTCTGCTCACTAGCAACTCATCCAGCTGTCGTCTCAACTCGGCCAACTCCAAAGGGGACATTCGGTAAAGGGCTTGGGCATGTGGCCTTGCGCCCGGCACCAACTCAATGTGGTGATCCACCGCTCTTCTCGGGGGCAATCTTTTCGGCAACTCTGGACGCATTATATCGGCAAACTCATCAAGCAAATCTACATCGGGTCTGGGCACGTCTTGGAACTCATCTGGCTTGGTCTCCACCATCACCGCCAAGAATGTCGGCTCACCATGCTTTAACCCGTTTTCCAGCTGAATAGCTAAAAGAATGCCTTTGCCCTTACCAATCCTCCGGTTCTCCACCACTTGGGTGCAATGCATGAACATGGGGCATTTCTTGTCTACAAACATAACACCATCCAAGTGTAGAATAGGGAAAGCCTTATTCTTGTAAAGAAAATCTTTACCAAGGATGATCTTGAAGTGTCCCAGCTTCCGGACCGACATCAGCTCACACGATCCTTTCCAACCATCAACAGACACATCAACCGTGCACTTGCCGACCACCTCCGCGCCGGAATTCACGGTTATAATCTGGCTATCATGGGGCAGCATCTTAAGCTTCAACCGTTTAGCCTCCTCATCGGCTATAAAGCTATGTCTCCACAATCCACCATGACCGTAGCCTCTATGCCATTGACAAACGACTTCATATACATCAAAGAGTTTTCAAGGGACTGGGACTATACCATTGTGATTGCATACAGCAACTTCATAGGATTCAACCGGGGCGGGACCGTTTCCTCAGCTTCCCCTGCAATGATAGCGTTGATCTTCTCCTGGTAAGGGCGGTCCCATGCCATATGCGGGCCATCGCATTTGAAGCACCCGGTTCTCTTCTTTTGCTGCTCATTAGAGGAAGAAGACTTACCGGCATCAGTCTTCTTCGCAAATTGCTTGTTAGCCTTCCCACGGTCCTTGGATTTACTATCCTTCCGTCCTTTCTTCGCTTCACCGGTGTTGGAACCCGACTTATACTCAGCCTGCTTCTTGGCAGCCACAATCGCTTGGGGCAAAGCTTGCACCCCTTGCCGTTCAGCTCCGTTCTAGCCCAACTCTGTAAACCCGACATGAAATTAAAAAGCTTATCAGCCTTGGACATATCGGTTACCTCATGCATCAGGGACGTGAACTCTTTCACATAGTCCTGCACGCGACCCGTTTGTTTCAACCATCTTAGAGCTTCTCTAGCCTCCCAAACGGTATCTGTAGGAAGGAACTGCAACTTCATTGCTTTCTTCATGTCCTCCCACGCCTCGATCCTGAGCGTGTAAACATCGTTCTTTCGGGTCCGCCACCAAAGCTTAGCATCACCTTTCAAGTAAGAAAGAACAAAGTTCAACTGGTTTTGGGGTTGCACCTTAGCCGTCGTAAAATACTGCTCCATATCCCACAACCAATTCTCCAACTCTTTGGCCTCCCGTTTCCCATCATATGTCGAAGGCAACGGTACCTTAGGGGCAACTTCTTCACCAACGGGCATGCCACACGCTAGTGCCCGTTTTAGCAACGCCACATCTTGAACCAGTGACTCAACCATTCTTTGATCCTCTTCCCGCTCCACCCATGTGCTGCATTCCTCTATCGTTCTCTTGAGGATGAGCACGTCTTGTTTAACCGACTCCAAGGCATCGTCTCTCCCCAAGCCGGAGGAAGACGTACCTTCACCACTAACTCGTCTCTCTAAGGCTTCAACACAGTCAGCAATATCATTAAGTGCTTTTCCAAGGATGCGCTGTATCTTCTCAGCGGTCGCCTCTAAGGCATTCAACCGCATACCGTGCGCCATCCTTCAACCCACGAACCAACAACCAGCAACTGGTAACTCAAGCCGTACGAACCTGGGGCTCTGATACCAGAATTGTCACTGGCCCTCTTTCTCAGTACAAGAAGACCCGGGACAACCACACGCCTCAACCCGGGAAAAGCACTCAGCAAAACCCGGCAATCAGAGTACCCGGAACAAGCAGCCAACTTGACATAGAAATGTAGCAAAACTCGGGTCAGGCAACCGGCTTTACCAAGAAATGCAGCAAAGCCCCGGCACAAGCACTCAAGCTTACCGAGAAATGCAGCAAAACTCGGGTAAGCACTCACCTTACCGAGAAATGCAAGGAAACGTTAACCGGCAAACAGAACAGGACCGAGAAAACCCGGTACATTCGGGATAGCCCCGGGCTTCCCGAGAAAACAAGGGACTAACCGAGAAAACAAGGGACAAAACAGAAATGGGAAATAAAAAGGGACTCGAGAAATACAAGCCGGAGACAGGCTCAACCTTGTATTATTACTCAAAACAAAAGGAAAGGCTCTCTAACTCAAGAAGGCTTACAACTCAACTCTCTATGCCTTCACATAAGCCAAGGCCCCCTACATATACAAGAATGGGGAGGGAATAACCCTTACAAGAATTACACCAAATGCCTAACATGCATTGGACTACAAGGCTACAAAATGCAATGGTACATCTTGGCATCAACTCTAACATGCAAGCCTACACCTTGGCCGACATGCATATGTCCACAGTGTACAAAACGGGTCCCACAGTTCTAGAAGCTCCCTGCTCCTTCCAGCAAACCTCGCTTCCAGATTGCACCCGGGGGCCGTACTGCAAGGTTGTTTAACTCAGCTCGGGTTCCCACGTAAGTGTCTCGCATGATTATCTCGCACTCCCGCATAAGGGCCGTTGCACTAACTCAATTGCCTTGGGCAGGAACTCACATCCACCCGCTTGACCGATATAAGTCTTGCACGCCTGGCATCGACCAACAAGGCGTGTGCTTCCGAGAAAAATTTTTAAGGGGCTAACAGATAGATTGAGATACACCAACTAATTCTCCCCAAAGAGAATGTTTACCTTGAACTGCATGATCAGCATACACCAAGGTGGGGTAGAATTTCCTCCTGGTTCCCACTTCTATGACATAACAATGTATGTATTGCTTGGTCACCTGTATTAACTGAATACTGTATTCACCTTTTTCCATATCAACAACAGTCTTCCCTTTTATTTTTCTTTTCTTTCATGATTACTTTTATAGTGATAATCGCACCATTTCCTTTCCATTAGCTCTGTCACCTTCTCCTCATTTAACTTTGTTTCTATCATGCCTACAACACGAACATTATTTACCGTGAGATAATTTCCTATCTCCATGTGTTTCAGGATGTTATTCATGACTACTAGACCCTATATTAGGGTGGCTAGTTTCTTGATAACATATTCCATTCAAGTTCTTACTTCATTAACCTTTTCACTTTTGTGATTTAGTATTCTAATACTTCCACTAGAGTCTGTATTATCTCTCTTTTGTATACTACTTTCTACATTTCTTCCAAAGTTACTTGGAGATTGTTTCTGCTTGAGAACACTGTTTCCTGGACTTTGAACTACTTCTTTCCCTTTGTTTGTCTTGGATGTTCTGGTTGTTAACTCTGTCACAGTTTCTTCCTTTTGTATCTCCTCTTTCCTCTTTTGCCATATCTTCTCTATTGGCTTCCTGCATTCTTTCATTTCATGCCCATAGCCTTTACAGTTTGTGCACTTGACGGGTTTCAACTCATACTTCACATCTTGCTCCTGTAGTTGTCCAAGTTCATCCTCAAACCAGATCATCTCTTGCAGCTTATCTTTTATATCAATCTCCACAAAAATTCTTGCATAAGCAGTTCTAAGCTTTTGGCTTGTCATTTCATCCATTTCTATGGGCATTCCAAGTATGCTAGCCAGCCTGCTTAATGTAGTTGAATTCCAGTATCTAAGTTTCAACTGAGGCAGCTGAATCCTGATTGAAACCTTTTGTATTTTATCCATCTTAATATCCTCTCCAACTGACCAGTTCTTAATTATTAATGGTCTACCATCAAAGTGATAGATATGTTGTTTCAGAACCTCATCCTTTGTTGTATTTGATTTCAATCTTACCACATACATTCCATTCTATAGCAATAACATTTTATCCACTCCATGTCTCTCCAAGTTCGCCTTATCAAACCATTCATTACGGAAAAAGGATTTGCTCCCAAAGCATAGCAAAGAATTGATGATCTCCAATATTCAATTTCCGCCTAAATCTCATATGTAGTTACTCTACAGATTACTTGATTATTCACTAGATCAAATTTTATATATTTCAGGGATTTCTCAGATTCTTGAAGACTCCTAGGATCAAATCGATTCCAGATATTTCCCTCTGTTTTGCTTACTTGATTCTGCTCGTCTAATTTCCCCAAATTCAGCATGGAATTACCTCCCTCAGCTACAATTTTCTGATTATAAATCTTTTCGAACATACTAGTTGAGCTACGGCTAGCATTAATTGCAGATGTAGAACCATTCAGACAAGAATTCCCAGCATTTATTGCAAAATCAGGTTTTTACATACCTCTCCACTTTCCCTCTGATTTAGAACGAGATTTCCTCTTGGGTTGCTCTGTTCCTCCTCAGGTTGCTCCCGAGTCTCCATTCCCTTCCTCTCAGCTTGCTTCTTGGATTTCTTTGCCGGCTGCAGACGATTAGATCGTCGGCAAAATCATCGCAAAGAACACACACAGTTGCGGTGTTTTCGCCTGTAGTCAGAGAGAAAGTGTTTCACAATTATAGTTCGACTTTATCATTATCTTATTATTGTTATTTCTTACAAAGAAGATTTTAGAAGCAAAAAGACAGATTAGATAGTTTCCCTTTCGTTCAGGTTTTACATTCTCCCAAGTCTTCGTTCAGGTTCCTCGATCGGTTCAGTAGTATTTAATTAGCACTACAAGAGATTATCGCCAGCTGTAATCAGTCTTTTAAATATTCTATCTTGCCGGAAGAAACTCCAGTGGCGACTTCTTTGGGCCAACGAGCAGAGAGGGTTCTGTCAGCGTCCAAGCTAGTCTTAACCTGCTCCCTTGCAACAGAGGCTCAAGCTCAGCTATCGGAAGGAAACAGAAACCGGAAGACATTCCAAATCTACATATGGAAACCTAGCAAGACGGAAAAGTCCAAGAAGAAAAGATTATCAGGTCGACCTCAAAGATTGTTGCCCTATGGTCTTGCCGAGAAGGGATTTGCGGGTCTTTTGTGATGAATATTAATGGCGTCAATGGGTTGGCCTGTTTGAGGAAAATCGAATCAGATTCGAGCCCTAGTACTATCCTCCCGCTGCCACATATATATGTGATTAAAGATTTGGTGGTGGACATGACACTGGTTTATGACCACAATAAGTCGATTGAGCCGTGGCTGAAGGGGAAATCCCCGGCGCAGAATTCGGGTAAGGAATTTCCTCAAAGTAAGAAGGATAGAGCTTAGCTGGATGGGATGTATGAATGTATTCTTTATGCTTGTTGCACGGCTTCTTGCCCTAGTACCTGGTGGAACCCGGAGTTTATGGGGCCGGCGATTCTACATCAAGCAAACAGATGGATAATGGATAATAGTCGTGACGAATTCGCCAAGGAACGATTCCAAACAATGAATGACCCGATCAAGCTGTATCGATGCCATACAGATAAGAATTGTGCCAAAGCTTGCCCAAAGGGATTTAATCCCGCAACACACATACAAAACATCAAGAGACGCCTGCTTCTTTGTTCTTGAGCCTTCAAAAATTAAGACAAGTTGTGATCCTGTATTTTTGGTGGGTTGTCGAAGCCCCTCCAAAATAAATTACCAACTTAAACTGTAGATAGGATAAGTCGGGTCGATCCTACAGGGACGGGTTAAACTTCAAATAACCGGAAAACAAATAAGAATATAAGAGTTGCACAAACAAGGAAGAAAATTGCAGACTCACTTGCCCGAGTGACAAAGTCACTCACGCGAATGGACTCTGCAGAACTGAAGACAAACAGACAACTGAAACATCACTCACGGGAGTGAGAATTCTGACTCGGGGGACTGACTCAACAAACTGAGATATTCATTCTCTTTTCCCTATGTAATCAAGTGGTAATCTTGCACTCTTTTGGTATGAATTCGTGCTCATTCAGGCACTTATATCTCTAAGTCACTTTCGATTTTTCCTAGAGGTATCTTTATGAACTCAATTAAACTATTTTTCAATGATTAATCAAGTCATGAAGTCATTAAGTTTTCAAGTCTTACATGAATGCTTATGCTAACCAAGTATATTCCTATCTCAATTAGAACCTTGGGCTGTTACCTCCAAGTCATAAGTTGGATCTAAAATCTCTCCAAACCAAGTATATCTTTCCAGATCTCCCCTAGTTCTAGCATGCATTCAATTAGTGATCAAGTAACCGAATGTAGAAAAACTTCCAACTTCAAAACATGTATTCAACAAGTACATTACAAACTCAAATTACATAGGTTCCAGAGAATGAAATCTGACTAACTACACATACAAACTACATAAAATATAAGAAAGGAAAGAAATAAGCGAGAAGAAGCAAATCTGAATGCTGGACAACAGGTCACTCGCCTGAGTGACAGAAGTCACTCAAGCGAGTGAGGCCTGTTATCCCTCCTTGTTGCTACTGGGCTTCTTCTTCTTGGAGTTCCTTCCTCTCTTCTTCGGGTCTGTGTAGTGTTGATGTATTGTATGTGTGTTTTTTGTCCTCTGATATGTGTTCTTTTTACTGGGAATGCAGCTCCTTTTATAGGGCTTGTTGCCGGTTCTTCTTCCAAGAGAGTCTCACCATGCTTGTTTATTTTTTATTAGCCCCAATGCCTTGTGTCTTGAATCTGGTTTTGACTGGTCTTTTCCCCTTCTTCCAGCAGTGGTATCAGCAGCAGCATTGATCAATGTGGGTAGTTGGTTCTTCAGCCAAGGGGACAAGCATGCTCTTGGGTTTCTATGGTGGGATACCCTTATTTACTCCCGATGTGATTTGTATCTTGAAGTTACTTTTGACCAGTTCAGCAAATTTGAATCCAACATCCCAATTTTTGTTCTATAAGCCCCTTTTTTCAGCTAATGTTCACTCAGGTCCTTGCCTAATTAAAAACACAAAACTAGTTAAGTAAAATGAACTAATTCTGAGAAACACCCCTAATTTCTTACTAATTAAAGAGTAAATTGCCATGTTTTTATGTACCAAATTAACCGTTATCAATTTTGTTAGGGTTGAATTTGTTTCAGGACTAGGTTCGAACTAGGTTAACCCCTTTAGGAAAGTAAGGTAGAATAATATTTTTTGAATCCGAAACATAAGAGCAATGATAGGAATAGTGATAAAAATATAGTGAATTTAGATAGTGGCTAATGAAAAAACATTTACACCACACTCACCATACATATGTGTTTACTAATTAAGGGTTAAAAGGTAATTTAACGGGAAAGATAAAATTTCGACCGGAGAGTGGAAAAAAAATAGAGGGTCATAATTACTTCACATCAGTCACTATTTTTTGTTATTATTTTTTTTGCACAATACATATCATTTTCCGAAACATAAATTGCTAGAAGATATATTTGCTCTGTATTAGTGGACAAAACCACATTAAAGGAGTTTTTAAGTTTTACCCAATCGAAACTTAAGATCCTATTTTGTTTCCCTTCTATTTAACATCCATTTTTATGCATATTTGCTTTAAGTTAGGTTCTTTTATTAATGAGATGTAAGAGAGCACAAGGGCACAATCCATCAGGATCCATCTTCCAGCAAGTACTAGCAAATCTTTAATTTAGAGATTCAACACGTAAAATCAACCAGTTCTACTCCGAAAGGTTGTTAGTGATTGATAACATGAAATAATGGGCTTGTCAATGGGATTCTAAACAATGTGATTATGTGAAACTGAACAAGAAGGAAATAAGTGCATTCAGATTAAAAACTTTTCTGATTGAAGAGAATAAAATAGTTAATTTTGAGCTGCACAGAACCCAGACGGATGCCTAAGTCTAATGGATATTCTTGAGATACAAAAGAAGCATAAGTAGTTGTAGTAGATAGATAAAAGGAATAAAACTATCAAATAGGGTCATGATTAATAAATAATTTATGATAGTATGAACAATCTTAAAAATATCTAATGATATCAATAATTCAAACTATTGGTGTATATACATCCTAAAAACGGTGACAATGTTACAAGGTGGACTTATTAATTGTTCTTTGTTACTCTATTTCCGGACCAAGAGAGAATTTAATGAAAATGCATCGAGAGAACTGGGCTCTACAAAAATTTGCTTCAAAGGTCGACCAGCATCACACATTTGGCAGTTTTTCCTTCAAGAATCTGTCATGAACAACTCATCATATTTGCTTCCCGAAGCATGCTATGGATTGTCAGAAGTTCTCCACTCTAAGTTAAAATACACATTTAAATGTGAACTAAAATTATGCATTTTCAATGCCTTTAAAAAGTCCTCCCAATCCAATTCCTTGTCCAGCTGTATCTTTTGACTTAAATCGGATTTGAGTGTCTTGATATCTTTCACTACTACCAATGAGTTTTCCTGAAACTTACCATTTAGAAGACATAGAGGATCGGGTTTACTTCTCGACACTAGTATCTCATACGCCGATGTTGTGAATCCATACCGACACCAAAAGTCACATTGCATTCATATCATAAGAGGGCGACCGATCCAGAAAATACCGCGCAAGATTGCAAGAACGGATGCTTCAGGACATTCTTGGTTCAAAATCGGCCTAATTTGAATCGTGACGAACAACTTTGCAATCACTTCATCAATTGTTGAGCAAGTGCCATCTTTCGTTGCAGCATCATCCAAATTGAACTCTACTTGGTCTCCAGAGCAAATCGAAACATCAACTAAGTCGGACTTATGGAATCTTGTTAGAAATCCTTTTAGTTTTAAAAACCACGAAGTGTCTACCTTTTGAATGTGTTTTATTTTCAGGCGAGATGTCCATCCTCGTGAGGAAGCTGTAAATGAGAACCTCGGAGTGATATCTCCCTCATACTCAAAGAGAACAACGTTAGGCACGTCGAATTCAGCCTCGCGTAAATCATCCCTATCTACCATATTTCCTTTAGTGACCCACTTGAAATTTTCATTCTTTTCAAGTTCTTGCAAGCGCAGATTGATAGAATTTCTAGATGGAGAAATTTACGTAGCAACTCAAGCATAAATTTTTCATCTAGTGAGCCGGCGATCGATAAACTCCTAAGACTTTGGTATTTTTTGATTTCAATTCGCGATCATTCTCATGTGAGACACGGGGATCACTCGATTTTGTTGTGCAAAAAGGGTCGCAATCATGAATTTTTAAGGTTTCAATGGAAGTGCAGACACTCAGTATGTTGTGAAAAATCAAGGGATCAAACAGTAGCTTTGTAATGTGGAGCTCTTTGAGTCCATGCCACATTAATGTTTTGTTGGGTTGGTCGTTCCCCTCAATTGGGCCAGCAACCACAAGGAAAAATAAAACCAAGTCTAACTAGGTTTTGGTTTTGGAGTGTTTGACCGAGAAAAGAAAACTCACTTCTATTGGGTTTTGGGTTTTGTTTTTTATGCCTATAAAAGGAAGGCTTTGTGCACAATTTGTGCATGTTTTTTAGCCAAGAGAGAAGGAAAATTAGGGCATTCGTGCAAAGGTTTTGTGTGAGAGAAAAAGAAAGAAAGGTAGGGTTAAGTTTTCGATTTAACTCTCTTTTGGTTAGATTCTTCCGGTCCTACTTTCTGATAGGTGTATGTGGAAGAGTATTATTGTAATCCACCTTTGGCTGAAGTCCTATGTATCCACCGATTGGTGAAGATTGTTTCCCATTATTATGATAGTGGAGATTTGATTGTTGTTACAGTCCCATAGTTTTTTTTCGATTTGGGTTTTCACGTAAATTCATGTGCCTCCTTTATTTTATTAGTTATAGAATTATTTTGCTTGTTTGGTTGTCCTATTTTATTGGTAGTAGGAAAGGAGATTTTCTTGGGGTTCACTTCCGTAGTGTTGTGTTTATGCCCTTTCCGCCACAACATGTTTGATGATAATAGAGACAGCAACATTGTAGACTTAAAATCTCTATAGATTCTACTTCTTGAACAGGAATCGGCAAATTAAAGAATGTTTCTCCCCCGGACAAAAAAAGGTGTCGGACTTGTTTTTTCGCCACGAGTTTGATGTATTGATTGAGCTGATCCTTATCAGAGTTGTAGCGATGAAAGCTCAACTTCAATGCCTTTATACCGATATAGTCGTCATCGTACCTTTTCAACGTGAAAAGAACGCGATCGACTTGAACATCCGATCGTAGTTCTTGATAATTGAAAACCAAATCGGGGCGTGACCCGAAGGCACCATACCAACCCTTTGATAGAGTACTTGCTTGGGTTGCTTCTTTATTGGTGAGGAAAGAAAGTATGTGATGGATAATTTCTTCAGGCAATTCAGAGAGACTTCTTCTCTTTACTTTGCTGAAGTTGGCCATTGGCGACAATTCATGGGGTTGTTAGAGAAGTATAATTTGTTATAGTCTTAGAAGGTTATTTCGACGGCAATTGGTAATAACATGTTGTTTTCCAGAGCAAAAGTTTTTTTTTTAAAGACTGCTTTCGAGGAAATTAGGTACAACAAATATAGCAATAAATTAATATGTCTAAGGCTCTTAATTAGAACTTTTTTCTTAACTACCAATCGTCTCCCGAATGATTCAAGAATCTATAGATGATGATTGTCTCTTGGCTCAAAAAACCGACCGTAAATCCAGTCATATGATGTGTAAAATTATTTTTATGACTAGTGCTCGAGCATTCGTCGTGCGATGCGCGACGCACTCTATAAATAATCTGGTATAAATAATTTGTTTTAAGGTAAAGTTGATTTTTGTTAATATTATTTTGGAGTTTTTAAAATTAGAAAAATTTATTATTGGTGATTAGATTAATTGATATCTATCTATAGTACTTAATTAAAGCAGCAAACAAAAAAGACATGTGTAAGCACCACAATGATAATTTTCCCGCCAAAGTCTTTTTCAGTACAAAATTATTTTTGACACGTGACACTCTAATTAATCAAAAAAAAGAAAATAGAATAAATAAATAAATAAATCCCTTAATTATAACGACATAAAAGTTCCTTAATTATAGGTATATTAATCCCTTAAAACAGCAATATTGATTTGATAAAATCAAATGTCAGAAAATTCCTTAAATCAAGTAAAACAGCACTGCCAGTAACGTCTCACCAATCCCCAATCTCAAAGGATCTCTTCCATTCCGCTCCTCTCTCAGACCCGAGCCTTCAAATTAACTACTTAAAATCTGATATCAATTATCAATTCATCTATTTCTACAACATAAGAAAAAGAAGTGTTAATGGAAGGAAATTTGATTTTTAAAGATGATTTGATTTTTTTTTTATTCTATAACTGTAGATATTGATTTATGATTTATGTAAACTTGGGCATAAGTTAACTGTTGTAAATTAAATGTTGTAAACCCAGACATAGATTTATGTGTACTAACTCAGTTCCTATCCCTTCAATCGATTTTTTATTCTTCTATTTTTTTATTCTTTTAATGACGATTTTTTTTTTATTTAATTGATTTAAAAATACAGGCGGCGGTCTGGGCATTCGTCCCGGCCAAGCATCTAGTTGTAAAAATTGTTGTATTTTGAATATTGAATAATTGAAATTATAACTATCGAAACAAATATAAAAGGTATTTTGAACATTGAATAATTGAAATTATAACTATCGAAACAAATATAAAAGGTAGACAAATATCTTATGTGGTGACGAGGTCGAATATCTATTGATAGACAATATTTCGAATCTCTGAATCTTCGTCCACGTCGTAGGAGACATAAGTAAAACATTGAACATTTGAACTTCTTTTTAATAATGTAATTTTGAAATCTAGGACGATCCTTTTAGCTTTATGCGCCCCTTTACTTCTTTTTTCTTTTTTTTTCCTTAGAACAATTTGTAATAATTAAATTAAAATTTAAACCAAACATTTGATATACCATATAATATTGCCATAAAAGTATAAGCTTTTAAACTTTTTAATTTAATGAAGTGTAACATTTGGATAGTAAGCCAATAAGAAATTTGGTGTAGCGTGATGGAAAAATATAGCATCATATCTTATTTCTACATTATGCTCTTTAGGCACGTGAAATCACCAATTAGTAGCAATTAATAGAAAGTAAATTATAATTTTCTTTCAATAATTAATAGCAACACGTGCGAAAAATAATTGTATATATTAATAATTGTATAGACTAAACATGATTGCAGTATGATGGTTGAGAACATAGTGAGAAAAATCAAGAGCTGGTCAACCAGACATCTATCTTATGCTGGTAGAGTCATGTTGATCTACTCAGTTCTTCTTAATTTGAATTCCTATTGGGCTAGCATATTCTTGATTCCTCAAAATGTGATCAAGGATATTGTGAAGTGTTGCAGGGAGTTTCTTTGGGGGAAGAAGGAGAATGGGAAAGTATGGAATTTGGTGGCCGGGACCTTGTGTGTAGATCTAAAGGAGAAGGTGGGTTAAATATTAAAGAGCCATCAGTGTGGAATAAGGCTCTTTTGGGTATACAGTTATGGGACATATCTCAGAAGAAGGATAGTCTCTATATCAAATGGCTACATATGTATTACATCAGGAATAAAAATTGGGAGGAATATGAAGCCCCTCAAAGTAGTAGCTGGCACTAGAAGAAAATAGTGAAGGTGAAGAACCAATTCTATGAGATCATGAGGAATGATGGTAGATGCTTGCCTCAAGGTGTTCAGTACAATGCAAAACTTGGTTACCAATGGATGAGAAAGGAGTTGGAACAGTTCACACCAGCCAGGATAATATGGAGCAAATATTCCTTGCCAAAACACAGCATGATCAGCTGGCTTGCATGGCAAGGAAGATTGCTGACCATGGACAGATTGCAGAAGATGGGATTCAACATAGATGAAGATCAGTGTCTGTTATGTAGAAATGAAGCAGAAACAGAAAAGCAATTGTTTTTTAGGTGTCCATATGCACAGGAAGTGATGAAAGAGATCAGTATTTGGGCTGGATGGAATAAGGAAGGAAGAGGATTACAGGCTGGGAGACTGAACTGCATTTGGAGATATAATGCAGTCAAGCAAAAGATCTTCCAGGCGTGTTTGAATACTATTATATATCAGATTTGGATGGAAAGAAACCAGAAAAGGGTAGCAAACTTGGAAACAGAAGCAAGAGTGAGGGTTGTATTAGGAGTCATTATATATCATATGCAAAACTAAGTTTTTGTATAGGAAAGGAAAAACAGCAACAGATAGTTTCTTGGCAGGATTAAGAGTCATTATTCATTGATTCATGTAATAGAGTAGGAGATGTACATGAGATTTTTGTGCAGTTGAAATATACAGAAGCTTACATTTTACCAAAAAAAGAAAATAGTTTCTCTTTATCAAAGTAAACTAACAGTCACACTTGACTCAAATGATAAATACCAAGTCATTAATCTATTTGTAAAGGTATCTCCCTATTTCTTCTCAAGAAAGCCAATGAATTGCATGAATGAACCAGCAGCACCCTTTCAATACGGTGCATCTCTTCAGATATGTCTCTTCTGGTGAAGCTAGTGCTAGTATGTCTATGGTGCCAGTAAACACGACCCTACAATGAAAGGTCCTATTGCACAATGATTGAGCATTCTTTGCTCTCTCATCTATGAGAAACTACATAAATAATGAGTTGAAATCCATAAACCTCAAAGTACAGATTAGCCGGGTCCATCCAACAAATTTCCGGCGAGGAATTGATGGCTGGAAACATAGCTTCTGCGATATCCACAAAGCTCAATTAGAGCCTATATATTTCCGGCGAGGAATTAATGCACTATATTTTGACAGAGGAATAATTGGTGGGTCAAAAGATATATAGTTGCTACAAAAACTTTGAATAGAGAATTTTGGAGTTTTTTAGTCCTAAATCCAAAGAGAATCGTAGTTAGGAATAAGAATTCAATATAGAAAATTTATAATCATAATACAATGGAGATGATCTCTATGAGGATTTGAGCCGTGTCTGAGTTTACGTTTCTAGAGAAGTTGAATAGTTCAGAAGCAGTTGAATTTGGGAGGCAAAAGAGCAGAAGAGCGTTGACATGCTCTAGAACTTCTACCGATTATTGAACCCAAGAGACTATAAGCAGTCAATGATTTCTCGAATCACAAACCTTTCCAAAAACAAAAGATATATAGTTGCTACAAAATCTTTGAATAGAGAATTTTGAAGTTTTTTAGTCCTAAATCCAAAGAGAATCGCAGTTAGGAATAAGAACTCAATATAGAAATTTATAATCATAATACAATGGAGATGATCTCTATGAGGATTTGAGCCGTGTCTGAGTTTACGTTTCTAGAGAAGTTGAATAGCATAGCAGCCAGAAGCAGTTGAATTTGGGAGGCAAAAGAGCAGAAGAGCGTTTACATGCTCAATTCAGCTTCATAATATATGGCTTGGAACCATAGATGAAGCAACAAAATCTCATTTTTTTTAACAAATAAATAAGCACCAGATTATCCATCTGTAAACCATTTTAATTTTCAAATTTACAAGACAAATGCAAGTTTCTGCATCCATAATATTGCCAAGCATTTCATCAGAAGTAATGTTATCCTCTCGGTTCTTTATAAAGAATGAATGGGGAAAATCCAAACAACGGTTGCAAGTGCCATTGAGCAACTTAAATCAACAAAAAGACAAGTCATACATAAATAATTGAATCCTCAACTTGAATGCAGCAACTATATTTGAAGCCAGCTTTAAGAAATATAGACCCAGAGTTTTAACTAATGTTATCATCAATCTGTGTTCTCAATTTGACATAGTGTTCTAAACGATGTAACACTAAACATGTCCTAATCTAAGTTTCCCTCATAGGAGTGTTGTAACTGTTACGTCAGCACTGACAAAAAAGGGAAAAGAAATGTAAATTGATGAGGTAGCAACCATTTTTTTACTTAGATTTGGTGGCGCACTAAAGGAGTATGTTATGATCATGTCAGTTAGTAGATGGAAGATGAGGCTATTCAGTGTCTTAAGTAAGAAGAGACAAGTTGCAATCACGTACAATGTATTTTGCTTTCAAGTATTACAAATAAACAGAATTTTGTTAAAATTCTACCAATACATAAGCTTACCTCTTTTGCATCTTAACGGACCTTCACGTAGCCCCACTATTTCCTCACTGAATTCGGGCTGCAGCATACAGTATTATGATATCATAGGAGTTTAACAAAAACAAAAGGACAAAACAGCTCATAGCCACAAGTCCCAGCTTTGAAGTACTTATAGGACAATTTGGATTATTACGAAGAATATTGGTATATACAAGCGTGAAGGAATCTGGACTCTTCGTTGCTCTGTCGGGCTTACGGCGAAAAACTGCACGCTTAATTGGTTTCTTGCTTGCAAAACCGAT